TATCGAGGCGATATAATCTAATAGCGTTTTTTCGATATACCACTCCTCGCAGCCTTATTGGTTACCTTGCCTATGGGACCTGTGTAACAGCCAAAATAGAGCGTAGGGGTCTAAACTTGTTTTACTAATCAGGTGAACACTAATCTTGTAGAAATCCCCGGGCCAAGCTCACCGCATGGACGTGATCAAGGCCGCTGATCTGTGTGCCCGATAAGTCCCACCCTTGTTTGTTACACGTTTGTTCTTTTGTTTGTTATTGTTACTTTTTGTTTTGCACCATTTGACTTTTTCCGGGTTAACCCTTTTTCCTGATGTATGTACTTACCTCCTTGATGTCACCTATCTTGTTGGTTCTTGCGTTCGATTCGTTACCCACTTTCTACTGACATTACCCACGTTTATATACTCTGTCACAATAAACCTTATCTTCGGCACCTACCTACACTTTTTCCATCTACTAACGCCAAACTCTGATGTGCTTGAGTTGCCTGTGAAGAATGTTGGACATTCCATACTCAGATCCTCAAGTTAATCCTCAGGTCGTGAAGAAGAGGAGGCTATCCCAATCCATCATCACTTCATCCCCTACTGGCCCATCTGTAACGGACACTACACCTGGTTTGCCATTGGTTGGTGAACGTGAGCCCGCTCGTGCACGCCATTATGACCTGACGACAGCGTGGAACGCGTGAGGTGACTGCGCCCCCTTTGTCCTTTGTTGTTATTGCTATCTACCTGATCCTATCGCCCTTATCCTATTGCTATTATGCTCAGATAAGAGTCGGAGAGAATAAAAAGACGCCGAATTAGACCATGTAGAGACGAAATATTTATATAAGTTTCAGAAATGGTGCGGAAACGACAGACTTCGGAAAATGCCTTGTAAACTGCTTTAGACGGTCACTATATGTTGTCTGAATCGAAGGTACAGGATGCGTAGACCTCGTCGCCGGCAAATACAGTAACACGTAATTACCTACGATATCTGGAAAACATGGAAACCGACAGAGCAGTTAAGGTGCGCGAGTGGGCCTTAAGAAACAACACAATAAACTCGCATCTACGAGAACTGTTAAATATATTTAGGCCGGCCGCGCCGCAATTGCCGGCAGATCCTAGAACTCCGTTGAAGACCGCGTACAATTTGTAAGTAGCCCTAGTGTGTAGCAGGGAATACGTCCAAATAGGTTTGCAAGGGCAACTTCACAGGCTTAATAGGAGTGCGTAATGCGCTGACATCTCGCTCGCCAA